AAGTGCAGGGTCCACCAGCCCTCCAGTTCAGTGAGGAGGCTGTGTGCATGACGGAAGCAGTAGGCAATGGATCTGCTCTCAAAAAAAATTAGTTTACTATCAGAATCTCAGACTGAGACTAAATTTTATCCCCTTGATCCAAGTATCCCCATCAGCTTGCACTTGCTGGGGAGAGCCTCAGGAACTTTGAGGCATGTCAACCCCCTTTGAGCAGTGGGATATCCTCCAAGCCATCTATTAAGGTGAAACCTCTTAAGGCCTTAAGATGAGGGAAGGCTGGCACCAGAATCTGACACTGAGAGGTGCTACAGCAGTTGTCAGGACATAGTGTTCTGCCTCATGCTTATCTGTAGCAGACATGAATCTTATGTGTTGGAAAGACAGAAAACAGACTCAGGCATGAAAGAACTGTTTCTAGGGTAACATTTAGAAACAGAGTCAAAAAGCATTGCCAGTGTCAACCTGGTACTTTGTATCAGAAGTGGGGTTTCCTATTTTATACCTTGAGCTTGCAGTTACCCAAGAATTGATTAGAAAGATAGAAAGGCTGTTTGGTCAGGGTCTGGGAGCACAGACTTCACAGCCAGGAGGCACAGGTACTGCCTGTTGCTTTTCATGTAATCAAGGAAAAACACTGATTCCCAGGCCATGTCCCCTTCTGAAAAGCTGGGGTAATGACTATATCTGTCTTCCCTCCCTCATAAGGGAAAGCAGGAGTCAAGGACTTACCCCCTGAGAGCTGCTCAGAACACTGACTGGAACAGAGAAGAATAGAAGATTTGGAGACAAAAATAATAATAAAACCTCCATAAAAGACCTTGCTCCCTATATCATAACTACAACCCTGACAAACCTCAGGCTGGCTCCTGGAGTGTACAATGGCAGCCAGTGCTTCCTCTTTTGTTCAGGGTGCTAGCATGCCGTTCCCCTGGAACTCACAGCACCTGGTGACGGTGAGGATCTGGTGGGGAGGTTGTAAATTCCTGGGCATCTTTAGGAGACGCGGAACAGGAAGCACTCTTACAGGCAGAGAGGCAGGAAGCACAGAGAGGCATCCTTATCCTGTGGAGTGCTCAGTGGTTAGTACCCCACCCGGAGGCTGCTTCCCAAGTGGAAAAGCAGAGCCACTGCTTGGAGGTAGGCTAGGCCTGTGGATGGAAAAGTACTGGAAGCAGATGGACAGAAGCAGGATTGGGTATAGATAAGTGGGGGTGGGGTGGGGAGAGGGCTGGGAGAGGGCAGAGCTGGCAGTTGGCCAAGAGCTGTCTGTCAGTAGAAGTGACAGCAGCTGCCTGTTCAGTAGCAAGTTGATTCTTACAAATTACAAACACTGTGCTGTGCTTTGTCCTGGCTCAACCTCCCGTTCAGATCTAGAACAAAGGATACAGCTGAGCTCTCACAGCTCTAGAAGGACACTGAGTTCTGGGGTTTGCAAACTGATGCCAAGAAAAAAAAAATAAAAATAGGCTCCTACAACTGTCAAGATAAACAACAGCTGAGAGGAAGTGCATGCGCTTGCACCTCAGGCCCAGACACCCTTGAGCTTCCTGGTGGTGACCGAAGCAGCACCCATTTCCCTGATCTCCACGCAGGCACATCCCTCTTTGTAGTGGCAGGACACAGGGAGGCTCCCTGGCCTTCTCCTTCCTGGGAGGAGGAGCTGCCACCTTCTCCTATGATTTCAGTGCAACACTAGAGGTACGTAAAGGTTTCCTCTCCACAAGGAGGCGCCCTCCTTCTCGGCTTCTTCCCTTGGCCGTGAAAGAGACCGCACGTGAGGACTGCAAGACCTGAGTTCTTGCAGTCCTCAGAGTGCTGAGTCCAGGTTCCTGAGGGCTTTCCACTTTATACCTGCAGTGATTTCATTTTAATTAAGTGGCTGCAGAGACTCAGGGACAGAGCAGAGTCTGGTGTTCTATTCAAGGGGAGCCTTGGCTCTTTTGGCTGGATGGAAGGCTAGTGATTAGCCTGCCTCTGTGGGCATGCTGTGCTGGGAACCGCCGTCCACCCCTCTCACCTGACCAGGTAATGCCTGGCCATTTTCTTCTCCCCTACATCCTGGGCTTTCAACATTCCACTTCACCCACAGTCACCCGGTGGGATCATATAACCCCTCCAGGCAGTCTGCTTCGGGAGAGGGCCAGGCCAAACCGGATCCTGCAAGTCTACTTGCTCACGCTCTAGAGAGGGACCCTTGTGTGTGCATTCAGAGCCCCCCACTTTGCCCAGAAGACACTTTTACCTCCCGGGCCCATGGTGGTGGCTTCCTTAAACTGTGTCTTCCGCAGGGAGGCAGGAGCAGCGCTGCTCCTTCTCAGGGTAGCCTGACCCTGGCCCTCCCCCGCCCTCTGATGCCTATCCGACTTCCCACAGGTGGGTGAACACCATTGTGGCTGGGTTGCTCAAGAGCTCTCTCTTGTCCTTCCTAGGAGGCCTGGCAACTCCCCTTAAGGCTGTGCAGTCTTTAGTTTCCTCGTCCCCAGCCCCTCCGGAGGCTTTGCCTGAAAGTCTGAGGCAATCACAAGGACCAGAGGGAAGAGCCCGTGGCATGGAAGTCACACTGAGCACAATGGGGAAAGTAGCCACCTTTCCCACGGCTGGAAACTCCTTGAGGTCAGAGACCACATGGAACTTCGTCACTCTCACATGCACTGCAGGGGCAGCTCTTAGCAGTGGATAAATACAGACAACAGAAAAAGCAGTAGTGACGCTAGTTCATACATTCTTCGGGGAAGGAGGCTGTCTATTTAACTAGGTTGTTTGTCTGATCGCATGCTTTTAAAGGTTCCCCTGACTGAGGTGGAGGAAATCTGAACGGTTTCTTCTCTGCCACTGGCCACTCAGACAATCTCGAGTTGGAGGGAGAACACTGCAACCGGAGTCACAGCTGCTGCTGCTTCTGAACATCACTCCACACCTGTGAAGTTTTTCAAGGGCATGGACGGAGTCTCTTCAGAATGACTGATCAATAGCCCAGAAAACAAGACAAACAAAACACTAGAGAATGGCCCTGAAATGTATCAAGTCTGTGAAAGCCACACCAGTAAGCGACAGGCCTGAGTCGATTCTCCAGCCAGGAAGTCCCTTAGGAGATAACAGTGACCCCAGGCGCTAAGGGCCGCACAGGTCTGTAGAGACCTGGGGATTGACTAATGATACACAGGCTTTGCAGTGTTCACAGGCATGCATATATGCTTGTGTGCTTCATGAAAACCCTTCCTTTCCGCAGCAATGTCAATACACATTGCAGTGCAGAGCCCAGCTGGTGGGCCCATCGCAGACACAGCCTGTGTTGTGGCTGCCTTTGGAAACTAAAGGGCAGAAAATGACCCCGTGCAGAAACTGAGCATGGCAGCATTAACATGTAAAGTCAGTTCAGCTGAACAAGTAGGTGTCTGCCATGTACCCAGTTCCAAGGAGCTAGCAGGAAGCAGAGACACACAGTGCCTGAGGCAAGCATGTTTGCAGGGTGTGACTCCGGGCTACCTGCAGAGAGACAGCTCTTAGCAGGAGGAGTCTGAATCACAAATGTCCGTGCTATGCCTTATGCTTAACCCAAAATGGTCTTTAAACTTTGTCACATCTTTGATCTGAGTCAATCAGGGCTCTGGTCTTTTTCTCCAACTCTCCTTATACACTACTAGCCAACATCAGGTCCAGGAAGGCTTGACATACAGTTAGAAAAGGATCATGCATACTCCAAACCAACAATGTAAAGGGGGGCCTGGTTTTATTTTGCAAAAGCAGAATGAATTCTGCAAACTTTTTGAACAGAATACTATGAAATTCATTCACCTTAAACACAGAGTACAAAGCACCAAAGCATGAAAGTATACCAGGTAAGCCACTTTGTGAAATGAGCTAAGAAAGCCCTCTCTGATCAGATAGAATTTTATTTTTGGCCTCTCTGGGGGTACTGTAATGTTTGCCTCTGGGGGCAGTGGGTGCCACTGAAAGAATCAGACTAACTTTGTAACCTATGTTTCTTTTAATTGCCTTATAACTTATATTTTCAAGGTTTAGGCCCATGTTAATTAAAGCCTCTTAGTGCTTTCTCCAGAGAAGCAAGGAATGTAAAAGTTCCTGACATTGGCCATCTTCGAGGGCAGAGGTAAGGAAGAGAACAAGCAGAGATCTCTACTAGGTGGAGAGGAAATGACCAGCCGGCGCCTGTGAGATAATCCTTGTTTGGAAACTGAGCCAAATGGCCCCAATCCTTCTCCTGACCTTTGACCAAAGCCTGTAACTCCCACTCCTCAGAACAGACACAGGATGAGTTAATCACTCTCCCACCTTTAACTGCAGCTATATCTCATATGGCAAGAAATTCCAAACTGACTTGAAGATCAGATATTTACGACAGGGCTGACCAGACCTAAGGGTGCCCAGAACCAACCAATTATTTTAAAAGTTAAATACCTCATCCAATCATGAATTGCCAAGACTGCAACCTCTGGAAATTCCCAAGCTTTGTCCTTTAAACACCTAATGCCTTTGTCTCCCAGTGCCACTGCTTGCTGACCAGCAGGGGTGACCCCATTGTGCAATGGTCAGAATAAACCTCTTGCAATTTTGCATCGATGATTAGTCTCCTGGGTTCTCTTCACACCTTCTTAAAATTAGGCTCATGCTGGGCCTAACACCACCAAAGATGCAGGCCTCTGCAGCAGAGTTCCACTTTTAGAGAGGACCCTAGGAAAGGTAACCCCAGATGCCCCAGGGCAGTTGCGGACCTTGGCTGGAGTATGGGAGGTGGCACTACCTCTAAGATGAAGGAAGAGAGGACCTGGGGTTCACCAATCCACCTCAGATTATCTGTGGATGTGAAACAGCAATGCTGACAGTGCAAGTGGCCATTTTTCTTTGTACGCTGTGCTTATGTCTTCCCTTCCTGGCTTCTAAATCCCAACCACAGTGTGGCAGGAGACAGTTTCCATGGGTAATGACTTTAAAAGGTAACATAAAATCATGGAAGATACTGGCTGGAACTTGGAAATTACCTGTGCATGCTTGGAGACCCAGTGGCGGAGGACATTCAGGACGCGGTTGGTGGCTGTTCTTCGTATGATAAACTCCTTGTCGCATGTTCTCTCAGTATTGTTAAACCCTTTGGAGGAAAAGACACACACGTTGCAGTTAGGGCCAGCCCCCAGGGATTAGAAAAGGTCATTTATTTTAGGATTCCTGTTAATGAAACTCACAAAATGCTGCCTCTTGGCAGGGAGGGAAGGTGGCTTCAGATCCCTGAATTCTGCTTACTTATTATACTCACCCAGCCAGCCCACCGCAGTGACGGCTACAATTACATGAATAATGCACACATATTTATTAAAGGCCACTGAGGAAAGCTAGAGGTCAGCTAATGACACTTCTGCTTGTGCCTCTATGACACAAAGCCAGGAGGGAATGTTAACAGGAGTAGTACCGGTGCGGAGTGTGCCTTTGCCACGTGATCACGTAACCCGCACTATCTGAAGGTGCATGTGGGCTTGCAGGTGAGACAATCTGTACTGCTTGTATAGCTCTTGGGAATGATTCTTGACAAACCAAGGAAAACATCACGTCAGTGAGGTGTCAGTTTCCATATCACACAGATGTACGCAATCTTTCTGTTAACATCAGTGGTATCCATTTGTTTATTTTTTTACCCAGAATCCTCCTAAATGTGTGTTTGATGAAACTCCGTAAAGGCTTGTGGCCCCGTCCGCATACCATCACAACTGTGGCTCTGGGTTACTGCCATGGACAGATATTTCTTGCTGCTGAGCCAGCCACTGTTCCAGGAGCTTCAAGCATGGCCTGCCATTTAACCCTGACAGCCAAGCACAGTCACAGTTGCTGCTGATCACGTGGCCAAGCTACAAGTGTAGTGCCCTGAGTGCTGTGGCTTCTTGTGCGAGCAGAGCTGCTGCTAGGGGAGATGCTCCCTCCACTGCGGACAAGTAAGGGAGGGAGAGGTGTTACAAACTGGCAAGTGTCCCGAGGCTAAAAGTGTCTTTGAGCTTTGATCTCTTGAGAAAACTCTTATTCCTATCTCACTGCCTGAATCCAGAGTTTTAGCCTTGTATTTCTCTCAAAAATCTGTACACCAACTCTTTTAAAAATGCATTCTTATTAAAGTTATTTGAAATTTTCATTCACTGTATTTTGATCATATTCATCTTCCATTCCTCCCCCTAACTGTCTAAATCTACCCACTTTCTGCTTCCCACTTTTCCTCCCTCTTCCTCCCTTCCTTCTCTTTCCTTTCCCTCCCTCTCCATACTCCTGGGTATGGGATCACCCACTAAAGTGTGGTTGACCTACCAGAATCCACACCATTAAAGAAGACTGACTCTCCCTCCCTCCTTCATCACTCCTAGAACACTGATGACTAAGTCTTTCAAGATCACACTTGGCCCAGTTTTGAGGGCAGAGACTTTACTGATTACAGTGAATAGGTGTCATTTGGTTAGAAAAAATAACTTTTCAACAGCTTCTTGGATGGGAGGTCCTCTGAAAAGCCTATAAGATACTGCAGGAATCCTGGGGAAGAACTGGAAGGGGAAGGAAGGGCTCATTAGGGGGTTATGAAGAGGAATATGTTCAACATACAATATATACTTGTATGAAACAGTCCTGTAATTCAGTACCATGAGCAGCACACAAGAAAAGTAAAAAGCAAACACAGTGCGCTCTTTCCCAACTCATTACACCCCTACGTGACAGTGTATGGGACCGTGTTTTGTCAGCCTTTGATTTGTTTCTTTAATAGTTCTAAAACTGCCTATTAAAGTCAGTTTAATGCCTGGTGACCAGAACTAAAAAAAAAAATGAAGTCGATGAGGGCCATCTGCATGTTTTCCCTAATGTCAAGTACTCTTCAGAGAGCTTGTGCATGTGTGTGTGTTCATGACTATATGTGTGCTCATGTATCCATGTGCATGAGTGTGTGTGTGTGTGTGTGTGTGTGTGTGTATGTGTGTGTGTGTGAGTGTGAGCATTTGTATGGGGGTAAGAACGTGTGTGCGTATGTGTACACGTATGTGCGTGCGTGCGTGCGCGTGTGTGGTAACGTCTATCTCCTAGAGGGGTGAAATGAGATTGAAAGCATGTGACAGGACTGGAAAATCAGTATGTCTCTGTTTAAATAATCTGCGATAATTTCCAGAACCCCAGGAGGCCAGGTCCATTCCATACCGAGACCAGCAGAGCATCTTTTCCTGCCATCTTTGTGCCCCCACAGTCATGCCCACTCTCTCTAAAGTCCCCCCAAAGTGTTCTTTCAAGACAACTATGAAGTGTTTCCATATTAAGAACACATTCTTCTCTCCTAAGAAACAGATCCAAAGCTCATATGTATGCTGCCTTCCCTCCAACTTCATAGCCATGGCTTGAGCCCTGCAGGACAGAAACTACTAATCTTGGTCTGTGGTTTTTCCCGTTCAGTGATCACATCCTTTAACACCTAGTAGTCCTTGTTAGACTGTGCCCTCTCCCTTGTCTCCTGTCATCAGTGTAAGACTGAGCACTGCACGAGTACATTGTAGCTGTAGTTCCTGAGCACGACAGCATCCCTCCTGCATGACGGAACTAAGGCTGTACATAACAGCATCGCTCCTGC